TTGTACAGCAATTAACCACTAAGAAGAATATATGCAGTGTATTATTTGTTGAAAAATAAAAAAAAAAAATAAAAAAATTTAAAAACAAAACAAAAAAAAACAAAATAGCTCAGTAGGTTAAAGCACCTGCTTAGGCAGACGCTGGGTCGGGCTGGCAGTTGTATCCCCAGGCCTGCCTGCCAAGCTGGCCCTGCCCCTGAGGCGCACACTGAGCCGGCAACTGAGACTCGGCGTGGCGGTGGTGCACCTGTACAGGGTCTACAGGGTCTCACTACATGGATCAGACTCCTAGCAATCCTCCTGTTTACAGCCTCCCGGGGGCCTGCCCATTAGCTCAGTTGTTTTAAGTGCCTGATTAAGCAAAGGCAGACAGGCTCAGGATATTGTGGTTCAATCCCCAGATCCTCATGCCTTTCCAGACCTGCCCTTAAGACATCTTGAGACAGGGCTGGTGAGATGGCTCAGTGGTCTAAAGCACCTACTTAGAACAAGCTTAGCAAAGCACAGGGACTGAGGTTCAATCCCCAGCACCACATGCCAGCCGGCCCCGCCCCCTGGTGGGCTGAGCTGGCCACACACACACACACACACACACACAAATAAATAAAATTAAAAAAAAAAAAAAGACATCTTGAGACAGAAAAAAAAAAATCCAATTGCCGTCTCAGTGTGTGCCCCAGGGGTGGGGCCAGCTCGGCAGGCCTGGGGATCAAACTCCCGGCCCCAGCATCTGCCTAAGCAGCTGCTTTAATCTGCTGAGATATTTGGTTTATTTTTTAAAAATTTTATATCCTTAGGGAAGGGTCTACAGGGTGTTCAGGGTCTCTACTAGATAGGACGTGTAGTGATCTGCCTGTTTTACAGCCTCCCAAGAGCTGGGATTACAGGTGTGCGCCACCACACCCCTGCTGAGCTATTTGGCCGGCCCTAATTCTACCAGGTGAAGTCTCCAGGAACATAAATTATGGGCAAGTAACTGTCACAGACCTAGACAGCCCCTTAATCCATTGTTGGTGGTCCTTGGCCTCCCTTGTTTTCATCCTAACAAGTGCAGGGCTGACAACCGCTCCACCTTCGAGCCAGGTAAGTCTACCCTCCACTACACTGCAGTCTCTTTAGCTCAGGGTCCACATCCCCAGGCTTGCGCAGCAGCTGGCACGCAGCAGCTGCTGGTGACGTGCCGGCTTCATGCGGGCAAGGCCACACTAGCTTGGATCTAAGGACCCCATTCTTGGGCCAGACACCCTAGAACAAGCAGTCCTGAGCCCTCTTCCAGCCACAGGTCCCTCTGGGAACCTGATGAGTTATGTGGACCTTCCCCATCAGAAGTCTGCACACCTACATATCATGCACATGATCGGGGCCAGAATGCAGGGGTCCAGTGGATCTCCAAGGACAGGGATGGGGGCTTCCATGCTGGCTGCTAGACCAAGGGTTCCATAGATACTGGTAAGAAACTCCATCCATGACACATCATACAAAAAGTCATAGTGGGGGCTGCTGAGATGGCTCAGTGGTCTAAAGCACCTACTTAGAACAAGCTAAGCTAAGCAAAGCACAGGGACCATGGTTCAATCCCCCAGCACCACATGCCAGCCAGCCCCGCCCCCTGGTGGGCTGAGCTAGCCACACACACACACACACACACACACACACACACACAAATAGTAAAAAAAAAAAGTCATAGTACACAATAATCTCTAGAGTCTTGCTTTTTGTAAGAACCACATTTACATATGTTTAAAAAGTCTAAAAAGATTTAAGTCAAACGCCATTTACCTTTCAGCACGGGATTGGAGTACAGAGACTTGCTTTTCTTCAGTATTATTTAACTTGCACTTGTATTTGTTTGCAATTATGAGTTACAATCAAAGAAAGCCTTAAAACAAAAAATAATAACAAAACCCATCTGCCTTCAATAGGTGATCCAGGGCAAGTGTGGCATGGAACGAAGACTGGGCGCATGGACATCAGCACTGGTGTCACATATCCTCCCATGGCACCTAATCTGAAGCCTCAGGCCTGCTCTAGCCCCAGGGCAGCACGGCCACTGGTCCCAGGACCTCATGTGTACTTGGCAAGCGCTCTAGCATGCTAAGTCTTTCTCTTGGGGTCTTCTAGGTGAAAAGCTGACAGGGTACCCTGCCTGCCCCAATTTCTGCCCTGTAAGAAGGGCTGTGCCCCGCCGCTGAACTGTTCCACCTGGTTCCTGCAGGAGTGTGGTGAGCTGTGCGTGCAGCCAGCCTGGTGCTGGAAGTCCATCCCTGTGCGTGGACCTTTCTACTGGGCGCCGGGATGGGGACCGAGTGTGTCCTTGCCCACTGCATCAGGGCTGTTCACCTTGCTGCCTGAGACTCTGAGGGCCTCAGCAGAGGGATAGCTGAGGGCCAGTGACTAAGCTCTGGGCACCCAACTCCAGGACACTTCACTCTCTCACCCCTCCCAGGAGGGACAGATGGCCTTCTCTTGTGACCAGGGAGGGGAACTGCAGCTGATGGATTAGGCACATGGAAGAGGATGATCCACACTGGCAAGGATGTGGCAGGTCCTTGCCAGTGGGGATGGGAGGGGCTGCTTTCATCTGACACAGTCTGTGAGGAGGCTGATAACACACAGGCCACTGTCATCCTACCACTCTGAGCTTCACCTCTGAGAAGCCCAAGAGCAGGTCACACACAGAGCAGGAAAGGTTGATTCACACAAAGCCACGGTCCACACAATGGGGCTGGTGGCACCTGCTCTGCGTGGGCCAGCATGCTGGGCTTGTCTGGACTGGAGACTTAAGTCTTTGATTCCTTTCAGGGATCAGTGTCTCTGACATAAGGCACCTGAAACAATGCTCTGAGCTTATTTACACTGTCTGTGGCCAAGAAAATCATGCATGAAATGTTTCTGGGGGAGGCTCTGCCATAGCCATAGCCCTGGACCCCGAGTCCTATCCTCCTGCTTTGTGATGTGGTTCAAGGCCACATGCTAGGTCAGACAGATGAGCCTGGATCTGAACCTGAGCTACCTTCCCTTGTACCAGCTGGAGGCAGAGCTTGACCTCAGCACCTCCCAGCTCCCGAGTCTGCCCTCTAACCACTGTAGGCTAGGTGCAGGGTGCCCACTAGGTGGCCCGAGGCTCATGGTGCAAGTGGGCTTTGAAGGGCAGACCAGAGCCGGGCCTTGTCTTTGGGACCTGGCCAGAGCCCTTGGGGGCACAAATGGCCTGGACAGGCCAGATCCTGAAGCTGGGTGTATTCACACACAGAGGGGGGCATTGGCACATGACGACAGGCTCCCTTGTACTCCATCCACCTCAGGACTGTTCTTGAAAGAAAGCAGAGAATACAGTGGCTCCCCTAGTGCCTCCAGGCCCACCTTTTTGACAGCACACTGGAAACCTGTCTGCTTGTCCTGCATCCTGTGGACCTCTCCGAAGGAACCTCTGCCCAGGCGGGGCTGGTGCGTGGCCCAGTGCACCTCTTCGAGATACTCATAATCCACTGGCTTTAGTTTCTAGGTGGCAGAGAGAGGCAGCGTCAGTGGCCAGGCCAGTGAAGCTGGTGGCCCTGTCAGGACTGCTGGGCTGAGGCACGGCTCCTCAGCGTAGCCTAGAGAGGGGCAGGAAGGAGGGGAGGGTGTGCAGGGTCTGCTGGCTGTTCCTGGTGACAAGCCCCTTGGGTTTGTAAATGGGATGGAAATGGAATTGCTGATAACCTTGATGCTGGATAAAGGCCTTGGGAGCTACCAGAAGTCAGGAACGACAAAGGATAGAGTCACAGGAGAGCAATTAGAAGGAATGGACCCCAGTGTGGGTCTCATGCCTGTAATCCCAGCACTCAGGAGGCTGACGTAGGAAGATCACAGTTTGAAGCCAGCCTGGGAAATATAGTGAGTTTAAGGCCAGTCTGAACTCCACAGTGAGACTCTGTCTCAAAAAACTAAAAAGCAAACCAAAAATAAAAAAAACAGAGAAAGTAACACTGAGTAAACTGCTTCACGTTCCAATATTATCCAGGACAAGAGCTAGAGGAAAAGGGAAGGAAGGAGGTAGCAAGATGGCAAAACCCTATGTTCTCTCAGCCCAAGAAGCTTCCTCAGTTTCCCCAAATGGATGTCACTCCCACAACATACACAACTCAGCTGCAATGAGGTGACTGACAGGAAGACTGAATGTGGGAGCAGCTAGGAAGGGGGTGCCACACTGCTGCGGGAGGTCTTGGGTGTTCCCGGGGCCTGTGGGCCCTTCCGAGGCTGCTGTGGGAGAGGAAGCTGGGTCCACGAGGCCCTTTCTTGTTTCTGTCTCACTGTGCTGTAGGCAGCCTCCTTCACCAGGCACTGCCACCATGATGTACAGTGCCATCACAGGCCCAGGGTGAAAGGGCCAAGGGGCTGTTGTCTGTGAGCCATAGAATTCTTTACTTCCTTGCATGTTCAGGTATCTTCCACGGTAATGCAAGCTGACAGTCCACAGACATGGCTGATGGACTGAGCCACCCCAAGGCCTGCTGGCTTGGAGGGATGTTATCTACCCCTTGGCTCGGGCCTAGGTACTAGCAGTGTATGTATAAGGGCAGGAGTCTAGATTACTTACCTCAGTAAGCAGCACCCCCTCATTGTCCTCAGTTTCAGGGCTGGGCCTCTGGAGCCTGAAGCCTCCTGCTGACCAGGTCTTGGCTAGGGTGGCCAGGCTGTGCGCCTGGCCGGAGCTCACACTGCCACGCAGGGCATGCACCAGGTACTCTTCCACAGAACCCTTCTCTTGGGCAGGAGCTGGGCAGTTGGGCTTGTGGGGTGGGTTTGGCAGCAGCTTCTGACTGTCCACATAGGCTGGTTTGCCAAGGGCTGGGTAGGGCAGGGGCTGCTGGCCATCTGTACAAGCCAACTTGCTCAGGACAAACGAGTCCAGAGGGTGTGGCTTCCAGGGCAGGAGTGGGTGGAAGGGGAAGGGATGGGGCAGTCTGCTGTAGGGGAAGGGGCGGGCAGACCGAGGTAGGGGGCTCATGTCCCCAGGATGATGCAGTTTCCACACGTGGTTTAGACATTGTAAGGGACTGATCAGCTTGTGGAGTTCTGGTCGTGGCAGCACCGGCTGAAGGCCCTCACTGAGTTTCTTAAAGCAGAGGTGGTTGGGGCCTGGTTCCTTCAGAGGCTTGGGGAGCTGGGGGACGTTTCTGCTATACAGGGTGCCTAGTGGGGGCTCGTCCTCCTGTGGGGAAACATGGTGTTAGGGCCCAAGTCTGTGAGCAGCAGCCTGGTCAGGGCAGTGGGCCTCACCTGCACTGGGACTGTGCAGCTCTCCTGCTCAGGGGTCCTGGGCAGGGGCTTGGCCAAGGCCACTCCAGCCTGCACCAAGGACTTTGTGCTCTTCTTCTTCCGTTTCTTCCGGGCTTTGCTGCGACGCTTTCCCTTCCAACACACAGGGGCCATTTTGCCCTCGGTTGCGTGGGCCACATTGTTGGGGATCTGATCAAGACTCTCTGACTGGCTGTCAAAAGAGGGACAGGTGGTCCACCTTGTGAGCCCAGGACGCAAGGAGATGGGGAGGCGTCTGAGGGGAGGCAGCCTCGAGCATCAGCCCCACTTTGTTACAGCTGGTTATGCATTGTTGGACACAGGTTCATCCTGAGAGAGGCAGTGCTAGCTCGTCCTGTTGTGCAACTGTCACAGAACACTCTACCTGGGCAGGGACAGTGTAGTATCACTAGCGAACACTGTCCCATGGGGCCACTGTTGGACACATGGTGTACTGCTCACCACGCCCATCACTATGCAGCACACAACTGTACTAGTGCAGTCCTGCAAGGCTCCCACATCCCAAGGACACATTTTCTCATTTATGAAATGAGTGAGGTTTTTCTGCCAGGCAGGGTGGAGTTCCTCGGGCAGGGGCTGGCACTGAGTGTTTCTGGGGCAGCGGTTCCCTGGGCGCTGCCCTGAATGGCTGTCTTTAGCTCTTGCGGCCTGGAGTGAGTCTGTTTCTGTGTCCTCTGCCCCAAGGGGTCCTGCAGCTCCCAGCTGCTGCAGGAATGTGAGGAACTGCCAGCATGGACAACCTGCCTGTGTCAGGGTACCTGCCTCCTTCTGCTGACCTAGAGGCTGCAACCTGCCAGGGACTGAGGGAGCTGGCCACAGGAGAGCCCTGGAAGGATTGCTGCAAAGCAGCTGTGGAGACCATGCCTCAGTGCCCAGCCTCATCTTCTGTCCCACAAGGAGCACCCTCACCCCTAAGGCCTGTAGCCTTCTCAGCGGCTCAGCCTAGAGGAGTGGGCTCATCAGAAGCATCTTCTTCAGGCGGCAGCAGAGGCCATACGAGGAATCTGACCAAGTACTGCACCTTTCCTGTTGCCATGGCAAAGCTGCCCCAGATCCCCCCTGCCTTTTTTTTGTGGTACCAGGAATTGAACCAGGGTCTTTGCACTGAGCTACACTGCTAACCTTTTCTATTTTTATTTTGAGACAAGTTCTTACTAAATTACTAAGTTGTGCAGACTGGATCCAAACTTTTGGCCCTCCTGCCTCAGTCTCCCAGAGTGCAGGGATCACAGGTTTGAGTCACTATGTCCAGCTCCCAGCTGTAAGACTCTGCCTGGTATTAGAGGGGAGATTGTTTTCTGGCTTGAGTTCTTGGTTGTCTCATCTTGGGGTGAGACACACAGGCTGGGCCGGCCCCACTGCCCACTTGCATGCCTCTTGCAGTGAGGGCCGCACACCAGAGGCACCGCCCCTCCTGGAGCGCCCCCTGCAGATGGAAACTGGGCTGCATCAAGAACTTACAGAGAATGACAACTTGTCACGCAGCTCCATGTGCAAGACCTTCTAAAAGGTTTCCCTGGCCAGAAAAGCTGGCAGGTGCCAGGAGTGAAAGCTTCCTCCCACCCTGATGTGCTTACTTGTATTGCTTTGAACCCGCGATGAAGATTCGTCCTGAAAAGGTAGGGCTGAACTCCTGGCTGTTCTCACCTTAAAGGCAAAGGAGTTGGATTAGCAGAAAGATGCACAGGTGTAGAAGTCTTAGCACCCCAAGGGAGCTCTCCTCTTCTAGCTTAATGTGTGCAGAATGGACATCCACAAGTAGGGCTTCAGGGTGCCCCTTCACATCCTGGGACACTTGGGACAGGCTGCCCAGATGTGGACTCTTTCTCTGTCTGCTTGAGAGACAGCATCCCGTGTATGGTGCTCACAGTCATGTGCAAACCAGGGCATCTGTTGCCTCACTGTCCAACCCCCAGCTCTCCAAAGGAGCCTCCAGAGGCAGTGTGGATATTTGGGGTACATTTCCACTGGTCATGGATGAGGAAAGGAGAGGGCCCAGCCCTCTCGGTCTTCCCGGGAGCTCTCACCCATATAGCCCTGCAGGCCTGAGTGCAGGGTGCTCCTTCTCTGGGGTGGCTCCCTGGCTGGCTGGTTGGTGACACTTGGAGCCCTGACTGCTGGCTTGCAGTGTCTCCCCTGCTCAGGTCACCATGGCATGGAGTGTCTGCCACACCTCTGGGGCCTGTCCTGGCACTTTCACAGTGCCCACTGTACACTGGTAATGGGTGTAGAGTCCCAATTCTCTCTTCTTGTTTGGTGGCTCTGGGGATGGAACCTGGGGGCTCTCTACCACTGTGCTACACCCCCAGCCCTTTAATTTTTGTACTCTGAAACAAGATCTTGCTAGGTGCTACGTTGCCCAGGCTGTGCTCAAAATTATGATCGTCCTGCTTCAGCTTTTTGTGTCGTATGGGACTCTCAGAGTGGTCATCCTGATCTCTGTCCTAGGACACTGAGGGCTGGCCCACAGCACCGCGTTGCTTACACTCTGCTTGGGCGATAATGGAAATGGCGGATGGTCCACCGCCGGAGCCTTCCTTGGCTGTGCCTTTGGTGATCACATCGTTCAGGAGGCCCCACTTCCCACAGAATACAGGGCTCTTGCCCATGGCCTCCAGCTGCACGCAGCTCTGCTTCTTCGCCAGCACCTGGGGCTTCTCCTTGGCTTTGGTGAGCTCTTTCTGCTGCTCAACCGTGGAGGCAGGGCTGCCTGGGCAGGCCACTTCCATCACTGCCATCTCCCAGGCTCACGCTGAACCTGGGGACAGACACAGAGCAGGTTACTTCTAAGCCCAGCAACACAAGGCCAGGCAAGGCTTGGGGATGTGGGCCGAGGGTGTTGGCCTCTCTGCCATGCATACTCTACCTCCAAGCGCGCAGGAGCAGCTCTCACCAGACCAGGCATGCCTGGGCAGAACCCTGCTGCCAACTGTACCTGCATGCCCAGAACCACCCAGCATGGGGCCAAATGGAGATGCAAACCTCGGACTGCTTGTTTTGGGCTCTGACAGTGACTGAAGCTTTTGTTATTTCTTGAGACCAGGACAGGTGGCAAACCCCATCTTCCAAAACACCTCATCAACCACACGAGCTCTGTCATCACAGGGGACAGGTCTATGCTGCCCACAGGGGCCTTTGTCCCAGAGGAGAGGCTCAGGTTTGGTCTGTCCCCTAGCAGGAGGACCCCCTCCCCATGCATACCATCATACATCCCTTCACAAGAAAAGCATTATCAGGCAATTTCACAATTATGTGACTACCACAGAGCATGCTTACACAAGTTAAGATGCCAAGGACATGCGCAACACAACCTCACAGGGTCACTGTCATACAAATACATTGGGCCCATCACTGATGAGCCACCACTGCGCACTATGTAACTGCACGCATGTGTCTAGAGCAGTCTCAGATGGTCTCTGCTTGTAGCTCTCCAGAAATAACTGATAAAGTTTTCTCCTTAATATTTAAACTCATTTCATGAAAACTTCCAGGTTAATATTTTTCTCTATTTTCTTTTTCCTTTCCATCCTTCTTTTATTTTTATTTTTATTTATTTATTTTTTTTCAGGAACCAGGGATTGAACTCAGACCCTTGCGCTTGCCAGGGAAGTGCTTATTCTACTGAGCCATCTCCCCAGTCCCCACCATCCTTTCATTTTTACCCTTTAGAAAGTATTTTTGAAGCAGGGTCTCACTAGGCCACAGAACTGCCCAGGCTGGCCTCCAACTCTTGATTCTCCAGCCTTAGCTTACATGGTGTGCCACCATGCCCAGGTGGTAATGAATTTTCTTTCAGTGTTAGTAGTTGCATCTACACTGGAAGCCTTACACCAACCTGTACCGTAGACACCTGAGGACAAAAGACAGGGCTCCCCTACTCGGGCTGTCTGTACGCCAGCCCTGGGCCTTCTCTACAAGCTGCTGGACAGCAACCCCACATGGCCAACAATCTGTCTCCATGCCACGTGGACAGGAACCGTCATGAGAAACAGCAGCAGCATAGCAGCAACCTGCATGTGTCAGCACATGGAGGCCTTTCTAGAGGGCAGTCCCTCTGGGGTGTAAAACTTTCGGGTGGAGCTGGGCATGGTGGTGCACGCCAATAATTCCAGCTCTCAGGAGGCTGAGGAAGGAGGATTATTGCAAGTTCAAGACCAGCCTGGGCTACAAAGTGAGCTCAAGGCCAGTCTGAACTGCATAGTGAGACCCTGTCTCAAAAAGACAAAAACAAACCAAACAAACAAACCCCCCCAAACCCCCAACCAACCAACCAAAAGCCAACTTTTAGGTGGCACCAAACACAGGCAAGTTTCTAACAACTGCTTCTGACAGCAGGTTGTTCTTCAAGGCATTACTAACACATGCTATCTTCCCGATGCAACTCCATGAACCCTGGATCAGGCCCACCCTCAGGGGAGAAGAGCAAGTCACAGCAAGCTAGGCCTCCAGTGCCACCAGCCTTTTACCCCCGTAGGCCTGCAGACTAAGTGAGACTGGGAAGTTAAGGAATATTAGGTCCATGCCGTCTGCTTCACTCAGATGTCCCACCATGCTGGCTCTGCACAACCACCAGCCGGCCTGGCGGAGGTGGGGTCTGCTCAGCTCTGCTGGCTGGTCTGCGCTCTGCTTTCAAGGGCGCTCAGCTCTGCCCACAGTGGCCTGGCTTCCAGTAGGGCAGACATCAAGCAGCTGAACAGCACCCTCATGTTACTTGGTCACCTCAACAAATCTAAGGAGCATTCTTTTTAAAAATTAAAAAACCCTAAAGTTTCATAGTAAAACAAGGGAATAACAATAATTATTATTCTATGTACCATTATTCTCAAAGTAGTTATTCAGAACACAAGACACAGACCAAAAGACAGGTGAACACTTCCAAGACAGGTGTCCCCTCCCCCTTGGTTGTTTTGCAATTGGCTTGTACTATGTAGTGGAGGTTGGCCCTGAACTCACTTTGTAGCCCGGGCTGGTCTCGAACCGTAGTTATCCTCCTGCCTCAGCCTCCAGGGTGCTGGCGCTACAGGGGTGCGCCACCATGCAAGGTAGGCTATCTTGTTTGTGATCACTGTTTCACATCCTGCACCCTGCTGGCCCTCTCCATAGCTAGCGAGCCCATCGAGGATGACAGCAGATCCCCCTTTCCCAGCTGCTTTATGAGAGGCCATGTGTCTTAGGAACCAACCTGCCCTTGCGCTGAAATGCACAAGAGCTGTGCTCCCAGAATCCACTCATTTCACGGGAAGAGCTGGGAAGTCATTTGGAAGACACTCTCCAAAGGTCATGCAGGACACAGCAGGCCAGGCTTGGAACACTGTGTGCCTTTTCCCCAGGCCTCCAAGGAGGCTCATGGTCCTTCCTGGTCAGAGGCTCCTGAGGGCCGAGGAGCCCTGTCCCAGCAGCCCCCTCAGGACAACAAACAGGACAGCCAATCGGGTTGGATGAGGGAAGCAAAGGACCAACAGTGCTTCCCATGACCTTCAGAGATCAAGGATAAAGAGGGAACTGAGCTGGCAGCAAGGAAGGGGAGGCTGCCAGGGCAGCTGGCTGTGCAGGCCAGCAGCTGCCCTCTGGTCCTGCTGGCTAGCTGGCAGCAGCCAGCCCCTTTCCCTGGGGAAGAGCTGAGGCCAAGGTCATGCTTGTCCTTCATGACTTAGCCACAGCCTACAGCAGGGACACAGGAGGCTCTGGAGAAGCTGCCCTAGTAGACACCAGCCGGACCTGTGAGGGCATGGGAACAAGCTAGCCCTCACCTCCCGGAGCACCGACTCACTGGTTGGGAGAGGCAAAGCTGCTGTGGCTGCTTTCCTATGCCATGTGAGCATGACTCAGCCATGTACAACAGCAGGAGAGGCTGCGTGCTCAGGAGCCTGTCCTCGGATACCTGGCCCAGTGACAGCAATCTGTGCACACACACAGACCTGGTCCCTGCCATCCTCCCTACCCTCTGTGGTCCACATTAACCCCAGGATGCTAGCCAGGCACTCCTCTAGTCTGTGAGGAGCAGGCCTATGTGGGAGATCGTTTGGCAAGCAGGCCTCCACCCACAATGCAGCCTGGACATTCTCCCTGCCCCACTGTGGCCTCCAGTGCCCTCACCCCCTGCTCTCTGTACCACACTGCAGATGGGGCTGTGTAGGGTTGTAACAGTGACATCACGGGCCACAAAAGTAGGGAAGGACAGCAGTGGAGTTTACACAGCGTGCGTTATGGCCAAATCTCCCATGATCCCTTGATGAGCCCTACAGGAGTCTGGGGCAGGGATGCCTGGGGTGGCACCAGATCAGCTCTGGCCATATGTGCAAGAAGAGCTCTTCATCCGGCTTTGAGGGAGACCTGGAACCCCAGAAGGACCTGCGATCTGTTTCTTCAGGGAAGGGAGCACAGCATGCCTTGGATTCTCCAGGGGCTGCTGCTGTCCAGGAGGCTGCTTCTGGTGCCCTGCAAGGTTAGTGCCAGGTGAGCTCCTTCTTGCTCTGGAAGTGTGAGCTCTCTAATGCCATGGCTGCCAACCAGAATGCAAGTTAGATGGCCATGAGTTATCAAAGTGCGCTCAGTTGAGAGCTGCTGAATTAGCCAGTGTTATTAGGCCGGGAGTCTATTCTTTTTAACGGTGGTAGGGACTAAAGCCAGGGCCTTCAATATGCTAGGCAAGGGGGTCTACCCCTGGGTTACCCCCCCAGCCCTTCTTAGTGAGATGGGGTCTCACTAAATTGTGACCCTCCTGCTTCAGTCTCTCAAGTAGCTGGGATTGTGGGCATGCCAGAAGTACAGGTGTGCACCCCTGCGCCCTAGGACCAGATCTACTACCGGCAAGCTCTCTGGATAGGTCTGATGTCATGCAGCCAGGGACTGCCAGCCAGACCTTACCCTATTCTAAACGGCTTCACTGCCCAAAATGGTAGCTCCCAGGAATAGGTTCATATTTATTAAATTTAAATATTTAAGGGGGCTGGGGAGATGGCTCAGTGGAATAAGTGCTTCCCTGGCAAGCGCAAGGGCCTGAGTTCAATCCCCGGTTCTGCAAAAAAACCCAAACAACAACAAACCCCCCCATGAGTTCCCATTACACAAGCTACCCTATTGGACAGTGCAAATAGAAAACATCTCCATCATGCAGAAAGCTCTATCAGACAGTGCTGTCTAAGGCTATGAGAGCAACATCTTGCATAGAGAAATTTATGTTCTCAGGAAAAACTAAGTGAATTTTTCATTCACTGGAAGGTATATATTTATTTATTTGAGACAGGGTTTTGCTATCTGTTTCAGGCTGGCCTTGAACTCACAGTGATCCTCCTGCCTCAGCCTCCCGAGTATGCAGTATTACAGGTATGCACCACACGTGGCCCAAAGCTAATGCTTGAAATGCTGATCTTTCTAAAATATAGCACATTTCACTTTCTTCTTTTAATAAAAACAGTGTAGTAAAAATGCCAGATGGAGACCCAAAAGTTATGGGCTCTAAGCTTGGCCGTTAAAAAAAAAAAAAGGAGCAAAAGGGCCATTTTATCAAGTGAAATCCTAACTCGTCTTCCCACATACGAAAGCTTGGGCAAGGAACTGGTTACAACTCACATGACAACAGCTGCCCTGCGTTTACCCGCCAAGCATCCCTCCTCTCACCAAGGACACTGAAGAATCCCCAGGGTCCAAGCAGTTCCTCGGGACCCGAGGACTCAGAAATCTGCAGTTCCTTATAGAGCCAGGCATGTAACTGGTGTGTTGGGATCATCTGAGGACCATGATTCCACCCCATGACAA